TTTTTTTTTTTTTTTTTTTTTTTTTTTTTTTTTTTTTTTTTTTTTTTTTTTTCATTGCTTTCTGCACATTCTATGACCATAACTATCATAACAAATGGCTGGGGATTCATTTTGAATTGAATCTGGAGCTTTTCTGCTTCAGAAGTTTGAATAAATTTATTGGCTTTCGGGATAAGCTTTGAATAAATATCTGACGGTTCGATTTATAGTTGGTTAAAACACTGTAACAGCTCAAATCCACTAGTACATATTGTTCTCTTTCAACTTTTCCTTTCAAGTTCTTAATTCGAGCTCCTCTTCAAGATTTTTAAACTCACTAGGGAGAGGTTTCCTTATAAGAATATGGTGGAGAGGTTTCCGTTACGACGGTGTGGAAACCAGAAGTTGACGACGATACGTAACAGGCCAAAGCGGATTTATAAAGACAATGTTTAATATTCGACCATCAATCAGAATCCAAATCTACAAGAAAACAGTACCCGTAAAAAAATCGAACCTTGGATGCTATTGGCTTGCTTCCATATTCAATGTTCCAGCAGCGAAACAAAAGAGGGGGAAACGCAGAATGAAATAACCATAAGAACAAAGAATGGTGAGAACCAAAAAAAGAAAAACAAAATTTCAAAAAAGGGAAATAAGCAACCACTTGATAGAAAGCTCTTCCATCAGTTGAATAACGTGTAGTATAGTATAAGTACCCTTTCCACCTTCAGCTTCAATAAATCAGAAGCATTTCCTGTGGACAATCGATGGCCCGGATTCATCATACTCCGCCTTAGCGATCCACATCTGCATTGGATGAGGAAAGATTGTGTTAAGTCGAGTTTCGATCGATGATCATCTAATGTTTGAGTCTCCAAGTAGATATGAACACATTTTAGATATATAAATAATGTTTTACCTGTTGGAAAGTGCTGAGGGAAGCTAAAATGGAGCCTCCAATCCAGACACTGTACTTTCTTTCAGGTGGTGCTACCACTTTGATCTTCATGCTACTAGGAGCCAATGCAGTGATCTCCTTGCTCATCCTGTCAGCAATGCCAGTGAACATGGTGGAACCACCACTGAGGACGATATTGCCATAGAGATCCTTTCTGATATCGACATCGCACTTCATGATAGAATTGTACGTGGTTTCATGAATACCGGCTGCTTCCATCCCAATCATGGATGGCTGGAAGAGGACTTCAGGGCATCGGAATCTTTCAGCACCAATGGTGATCACCTGTCCATCTGGTAGTTCATAGCTCTTCTCCACAGACGAGCTGGTTTTTGATGTCTCCAGCTCTTGCTCGTAGTCCAGGGCTATGTAAGCTAATTTCTCCTTCATATCTCTCACAATTTCACGCTCCGCCGATGTGGTGAAAGAGTAACCACGTTCAGTTAAGATTTTCATTAGAGCATCTGTGAGATCACGGCCAGCTAAGTCTAGACGGAGGATGGCATGTGGGAGAGCATACCCTTCGTAGATTGGAACTGTGTGGCTGACACCATCACCAGAATCCATAACGATCCCTTCAAAACAACCCACAATATACATACATGAGCAGAAAAAGTAACATAATTGCTAAACTATAGAAGATATCAAGAATACATATATTTTGATAGAAGGAGCCTTTTACATCAATTGAACATGTTAAGAAGGTAAACCGTAAACTGAATCAGAAAACTATACAAAGTCGTTTCTTTTTTATAAACATCTTTAGTTTCCATCCATTTCCTTAATAAAAGAGAAACAAAAATACAAAACAGATAAGAAAAAGGTAATAGATCTACTTACCGGTTGTGCGACCACTGGCATAAAGGGAAAGGACGGCCTGGATAGCAACATACATAGCGGGGGTGTTGAAGGTCTCAAACATTATTTGGGTCATTTTCTCTCTATTGGCCTTGGGATTCAAGGGTGCTTCTGTGAGCAGAACTGGATGTTCTTCTGGAGCAACTCGAAGCTCGTTGTAGAAAGTGTGATGCCAAATTTTCTCCATATCATCCCAATTGCTAACAATACCATGCTCAATTGGGTATTTTAAAGTCAAAATACCCCTCTTCGATTGAGCCTCATCTCCAACATAGGCATCCTTTTGGCCCATACCAACCATAACACCCGTGTGCCTGGGTCGACCGACGATGCTAGGGAATACAGCCCTTGGAGCATCATCTCCAGCAAATCCAGCCTACAGATAGTATCAACAATTTTAAGCTTTACATTGTAACAATAGTAAGAAAAGGCGATTGATTGGTAATGGAAGAACCCATTACAGAACAAAAAGTCTAAAACATGGTGAAACTGCAACGGGAGGTTCATGGACTTCGTATCAATACCTTGACCATCCCTGTTCCGTTATCACAGACGAGAGGCTGAATATCCTCGGAATCTGCCATTGTCTATAATCTGCACAAGAAAATCACAAGTTATTGCTATAATTCAGATAAAAATTACTGATCATCAGCCAGATCAAACTCCTACATGAAAATAAAGATTCATTTCCAAACGAGACTTCCCACAATAAAAGTCTTCTGCACGTAGAAAATACTATATTGTATAACATGTTAACGAACACTACATCGCTACTGCTCAGATAAATAAGAAAAACACAATAAAATGCTAAAACAAACACGAAATTTTGGTTGCAAATTTTCAACGCCCGATCCAATTCTAGACAACCGCACAAGAAAAAAATAAACCAAAGAAATGTAAACCATGACACATCGTCGTTCGTGAGCTGCTATTAATCAAATAATCCCAACAGCATTTTCTAAATAACTAACAATCAAATCTAAACACAATACGGAAATAAAAAGGACATGATTAATACAATTCAACATATAATGAACGAGTCACCGCAAAAAACTTGCTCGATCATCATTTCCAAATAACAAAAAGAAAATTCAATCTAACTGAACAAAATGAGAATAAAAATAGACGTGATCCATACAATTCAACATACAATAAATGAATCACCGCAGAAATTTTGCACGATCATCATATCTGAGCTGATATTAATCACAGAATCCACCAGCATTTACCAATAACGAGAAGAAAAATAAAAGCAGACGTGATTAATACAATTCAACGTATAATAAACGATAACGACACAAAATTTGCTCGATACTCATATCTGAGCTGATATGAACCACGGAATCAGCGTTTCCCAAATTAATAAATAAATGAATCCGATCTAAACACAATGCGGATGTAAAAACAGACATGATCGTCACAAAACAACATACAACAAACGTATCACCGCAAATATTTTGCTCGATCATCATTTCTGAGCTGACATTAAGCACAGATCCATCGACATTTCCGAAATAAAAAAGATAAATCCAATCTAAATCCAATGAAAAATAAAAATAAAAACAGACAAGACAATATACGAATCACCGCAAAGTTTGGGCTCAATCATCATTTTAGAGCTGGTATTAATCAGAGAATCCACCGGCATTTCCAAAACAACAGAGAGAAATTCCAATCCAAACACAACGCACAAAGAAAAAAAACAAGCGTGACCATCAAAGCAAAACAACATACAATAACACGAAGACAAGATGAAACAGTTGCGTCTCGGGATTCAGACAATATCCTCCTCGGAGAAAATCAAAAACCAAAAAAAAATGTAAGAAATGATCGATAGATGATACCTTTGAAATCAGGAAAGCTTCGAGCTCTTGAAACTGTAGAAGGGTGGTGGCAATGGCAATGGCAATGGCAATGGCAATGGCAATGGACTGAGTCTCGAGAAAGAAAGAAACTACCCGCCCCTCTCCCTCGCTTTCTTGTTTTTAAAAAGGAATTCAAAAAAGCAAACGAACTCCCATCATTACCTTTCCGCAAATCCTGACCGTCTATTTGGAATCTCTGATCTACGGTCTCTTTGCACGCGTCACTTTCTCTTGGATCCAGCTGTCTAACTTTTCGGTCTTCGCCTTCCCCTGGACCGTTATGCCCTTCTAACCCGACGATCCCCACCTTTCGTTGACCAGGGCTAAATTCGGAATTTACACTTTTAATTACATTTCTTAATATTCTTTCAATAATTAATTCTAAATTTTCATTTATTTTTCGAAAAATGGCTCACTTTTACAAATTAATTCAACATTAAAATATAATCTTTTTATAATTAACAATTATTATTAAAGCGAAATGTATTATACACTAATGTTTATAACTCAACTTAATCTTGTTTTTTATTTCTTTCAAATTTTTTTTAGTATAAATTTTTTTTTAATTCTTTTACCTTAAAAAATTGAATTTAATATTTAAAAATACACTCAAACGAACTCCTATATTGTCGTTGTTTTTTTAGTAAATTCATATATGCTCTTATTTGTTAATTAACAAAGCTAAAAACCAATAACTTGTCATTGCTAAGAAGGAGAAGTTATCTTTTTATTATTATTATTATTATTATTATTATTATTATTATTTTCTTTCAAAAACAAGAGGCCCTACTAAAATTTATTTTTTAAAAATATTTATATAAATAAGAACAGACACTATATTTAAATGAGAGCAATCTTAAAAATGGAAGGACTAAGAACACTTCAAAAAAATTGAAAGTTAGTATTTATAACAACAAGGTAAATCTTTATTTTCAGTCGCTTAACCATAAACAAAGTCATGAGAACTTGCTCAAAAGTCCATTGTGTATCTAATAATTTGATGTCAGGCGACTTCCTAAAAATTTTGTTCCTTAATCCATATTAAAAAAATATGTTAAATGTAATTTTTCAATAACGTAAAAATTACACTATTTTTGAAGTGCGGTAAATATTTTGGGATTTAACTTTGAGCTCGAACCCACCCCTTCCCCATGCCCGCAGTCGCTGTTGTTGGTCGGAGAAAAAAAAGTTCAATTCATTCGGCACCAGCCTCCATCACTGTTCTTCCTGCTTTGTGGAGCCTCATTTTCGGGTTTTAATCGATCGGTTTCCACATGATGAACAGCGGCGGCATCAAAACGGTGCTTCTCAATCCCAAATCCGATTGTTTTGGGTTGAGAACTGCTTTCTTTCACTCTACGCCTGTCCTCGATCGCAAAAGACGCAATCATTGGGACTCTGTGAGTTTCTTTTCTGATGCATGTATGCGATTCTTAATCTCGCATGGTCATTGATGATTGCTTTATGTGCATAACAATAGTGCGGAGGAGACCAATTTTTTGCAAGGATTACGTATGTTACGTTGTTCAAATTAGTATATTTTGGTCTTTTGTATCTCTTTTCTGATGCGAAACTGCAGATTTTGCATATACTGAGCTGGAATCTTTTGTTTTTGTTTTATGGAGAACTTGGAGAATCTAGGTCGAAATGGTTTTAGTTTTAGTTGGGTAGGAGGCTTTCAGAAGCTGCAACAATTGGTTTGCTAGAACCATTTCTAAATCTTTGAGCAACACAAACGCTTGAAAAGTCAGATTACATAATTAATCAGAAATACCTCTATACGGCCTCCAGCTCCCCGTAGCATTCAATCACCAACTCCCAATTCTAGCCCACGAACACTTTATGAACGAGTTGAATGTAAGGACTTATTAGTTAGATTTCTGTAAGCCATAACTAGCTCACGAACACTCTTTAGGTAGATTTCTGTAAAATTCCCTTTTCATTAGTAGACAAGATGATATGTTGTTCAGAGGGCCTTCGAGGAGGCGTGGTGTGGGGCTCATTTCAACACAACGCCTCATTTTAGGTTTTCTCGTCCTAGAGCAACTTCTTGCAATTTTTATCAGTTTTTTTGGTTTGCTCCCTAATTGGGTTCTTCTCTGTAACTTCGTCATTCGTAATGAAAGCTCGTCTCCTTTACAAAATGAGAAAAAAAAAATTCTCATTCAGTTATGAAGGAAAGGGTTTCAAAGGTAAGAAAACAGAGTTCTAAAGAAAGACCGAACATTTGCAACAGAACTTAGAATGCCTGTTTTTTTTTGTAAATTGTCGTTTCGTTTTGTTTCTTTTTCTCACTGAAAGCGAATCCCAAATTTTCTTTGGGGTTAGCACTGCATCACTGTCAATCTTTCAATGGTTAGATTTAATTTATCTTTCTAGACATCAGTTAATTGAGTTTTTGTAATTACCAGCTTGGTGTCATTCTCTTAGAATGATGCCCTTTTTTTTGTAATTAATTTTGGGGTTTTTTGTATGCCTTTGTACATTCTTTGATTGAGGCTTTGCACTCTTAACTCCTATAGCTGTGGATCAACATTTTCATATTCTTTTCCCTTTATTCTTGTGATATAGTAACCTGGCTGCTAACTAGTTAATCAAAATGAATACTTCTTGCAATAAACCTCTTAATTTTATACTTTGTACTAATATGTGTACACTTTTCCGCAGAGATGCAACCATTACACGAAGAGTTTTAGAAGGATTAATGCAAAACAGACGTTGCTGCGCAATGTCAGTGCCTATGCTGAATTCCTCTTTCAGGTTGCATTAGTTGCCTGTTAACTTCACTTTTCAATTCTTTTCCATTATCTACTTCTTCATTGAAATCAGCTTTCAATAATTTGTTCATAGGAGATAGGGTCCCATTTACAATTACCGGGAGGAAAACGACATTTTCCTTTATGTAGAGTTCATAAAATTCTATTAATTCATGATAAGGATATAAGTGACCAACTGGCTCAATCAAGCTTCAAAAGAAACTTATTCTCAAAGTTAACGGAAGTAAACTCAAATTCAAACCAATAACATGCCAAGAAGTCAAATCATTAGAGCTAAAAGACTACTAGAAACATGGAATATTTACATCCAAGCTAAGGTGTCGTCTACTCATTGTGAAGACTTACTTTCGTTCAAACTTGATAAGGCACCTTTTCGTCAAAGAGGCTTAATGAATCTAATTCCAGATTCGTTCTCATTTTTCTTATGCATATGTACCTTTCAAATCATGCATTTTCACGTAAGAAGGTTCGTTAATGGACTTCAAAGGAGGTTGGCTGAATTTAGATTAGATGGACCAAGAGTTGTGTCCTTTCGTTGCGTCTTTCAATTAGTATAAATAGAGATGTAATTTTTTTCATTTGAAGAACAAGGTGAATGAAATTTCATATCAGTTTTAGTCTCTCTCAAGCTTGGAAGTAAACATTCAATGCTTCTTTTAGTCTTTTAGCTTGAATGATTGAACTTTGTGGCATAATGGTTGGCTACTCATTATCTTGAATTTAAGTTTACTCCCGTTTTTCAAAAGAATTTTCGCATCATCCGTATATTATTGCTTTTGGAGTTTCAGAGTTGGCAGGATGAGGGTGAGACGAATGACCCTTCCTCAAGCAGAGGCACTTCTTGGTTTAAAAGGCAGTACTCACAAGGGGGCTCTAAACGAGAAAGGACCAACCAGAAACCACGGTGTTGGGGCAGAAGTTAGTAACCTCTTTATTACATATCTTCAACGGTATTAATGTATATATTCAAATTGTTTATTCGTTTTTACCATCAAGAAGCTGAAGTCAGAGTTGGAAACCATAATTGTTTGCAAGTGAAAGTAAAAGGATTAGTGAGGCATGAATCGCAACACTCTCATTTACAATTTTTTTTCTTTAAAAAAGTTATATTTCTTTTAAAGTTCTAAGTTTAATGTTGTTGACTCCAATAATTGTTTTTAAGCAACTTTTGATAAACAATTTTCACTGAACTTATGTCCTAATTCTTCTTCATCAGGTTTTGAGTTTACTGAAGATGATCCTGACATTGAGACTGTTTTCCGATCTGCATTTGGTGGAAACCGGTCTTACTATTGGTCGTTTATTAATGAAGAAAACCCTCAATGGAGGAGCTCAACAAATTACTCAAGTAACTATGGAAGATCTTGGAACTGGCGTTATAGGGTCGATGAAGATTATGACGACTCCTCGAACGAATATGAGGACTCTGATGCTAATTTGGCATCGCATAGGCGTGTTCTTGGACTAAAAGCGTCTGGTCCACTCAAACTTCAAGATGTTAAAAATGCGTGAGCTTTCGTTTTGATCGCTTAGACTTTTGTTTCGTACGGATGTAGCATTCTGTCTTATCTTGTGATCGAGACTCGAGCTGCTTGCAGGATTTCTCTTGAATCTCTTCTTATTTTTTACCTTTTCCAATTCATAAATTTTTGTCCTTCAATTTCAGGTATCGAGCATGTGCACTGAAATGGCACCCAGATCGTCACCAAGGTTCCTCCAAGGTAGTATCATGTTCCACCTCAACCCCTCCCCCGATTAGAAAGTCGAAATAACATTGGTTTCAACAATAACTACCTGTAATATCAATCGAATAACATCAATGCATTGGTTACTTGGAACTAGTTGAGCTAAGCTTAAATCTTTTTGTGTTCATAAATCTGATCAATGTACTTAAATTTAGGTGATGGCGGAGGAGAAGTTCAAACTTTGCAGCGTGGCATATCAATCCCTGTGCGACAAGTTAGCGGTAAATTAAGGATGATAATCTTAATAACCCCCATATGCATCCAACATGCCAACATATTGCAGTTCATAGGATGTTGTCACACAATTAGACCCTTTTTCTTCATATATGATATGAGAATTTTCATGTCTGTAGTGTTGGTTATATCTCTATATTATTGTTGGGGGCATCGAGTGCCGACTGTTTTGAACGACAACAATACCATTGTATCGAGTTTTTGTTTAAGAGCATCTATAAAGTAGTAAGAAATAAGAACATTTAGACATTAGATATCATTCCCTTGACAATCTGGGTTAGGAGAACATCCGAGCGATTGCCTTTGCGGATCCAAACAAGGAGGCTGGCCAAAACGGCTGACCGAGATAGGTTTAACCAGAATGGCATCTCTATGTAGTGATTTACCCCTAAAGCAGATGAAGGTATGATTGATCTATCTTCAGGTCACATCTCAACTTAACCATCTGCAGATTGTGAACGTTCATAGCAATTCAACCTTGACTTTTGTAATCTAACATTCATGTCTGAGTATTTGATTTTTCAATTCCTTTTGACGAGCTTGTACAATTTCAACTGTCAATTTGCTGAAAAGACGAGGAAAAATGTTAATAGGACAATTGCAAAAACTACCCTTGAACTTTGACGTTTGTTGCAATTACGTTTCTGTCCTTTTAATTTGATCAATCATCCTTAACAAAGTTCGAGGGGTTGTATGATCAGATTAATAATAGTTTAAGGGCGTGATGGTAACAAACCACATAGATCATGGGTAGTTTGAGTAATTTTTCCTGAGGATATCATAGTATATAATAACCGACTTTCTAAAACTCTAGATCGACTATAGCTCGTTATCATATGCATGCTTATGTCATTGAAAGTGGAAGATAAAAACAAGCATGACTTTCACAGAAAACGTGAAAAAAAAATGAAATGTGTGGACTATCATCTATAGCAACAAGTCTCTCGTGTCACGAAAAAATAATTACGATAGATATTGAAAAATTAATGATAAAATTTTGAAATTGGTTGATAATTAATTTATAAGTATAAAAAAATAAAAAATTTCAACTCATTTAGAAAATAAATGTCATCAAATTCTAATTAATATATATTAACTGCATCATTCATTTACGGGACCAATTTAAAACCATTTTTCAACTAAATAAATATATCATTTCGTTTTTTTTTTTTTTAATAATTATTTGAAGGCGCCGTGCAAAACATTCCATTTTGGCTTTTATCCTAATCCAAGTTCTTATTCGTTTACTTGCTAGTCTTCAGCCATCGCCACTGTCTCTTTGTTTCCCACCAATTTTGTGTTCTTTCATTCTATTTCACTATTCCAATCCGAGTTTGGAACTCAGAGATTTTCTCGGTTCTCTTTCGGATCTCTCACATTTTAATCCCCAAGTTTCTGTGTGCAATTGGAAGGTTTAATGGTTTTCAGGGATTTGATTTCGTAGCTTTGAAGTTTTGTGTAGGGAGAATCAAATTTCCCTTGTAAACTATGGATAGGATTGGATCCTTCAATCACCATACTGCATCAAATGGTTTCCAGAATTCTTGTAATAGGGATACCGAATTTGGCGCCAATGATAGGAGGTTCGCTTTCTCACGTCAAGCTTCGTCTATGCAATGGCAAGAGCCGTCCCATCCACCGATTTCTACCAACTCCGATGAGTTGGCCAAGCCTTTGCTTTCGCGGAGTATGTCGAGCATAAACATTCCGCCTGGGAGATACTTTTCTTCCGAAAGTAATAACTTCTTTGGTGTAAAGGATAATTCAGGTGATAAATTATCGGTTTTATCACTCGCATTTTCGATTTTAGAGAATGTGAGATCTGGGAATTTGTATATGAAGAGGTTGTTTATTATGATTTTTCTCAATGTCCTGTATTCGACTGCCGAGTTAGCTACTGGTCTCCTTAGTGGCCGTATTGGTATGGAGTCTACGGACGTCACTATCCTTTTACCCCTTTTAAATTCTCATTCTGTATGTTGAAATTTACTCGTTTATGTGAGTAATTTATCTTGTTTTCTTGTGTCTTCAGGCCTGGTTTCTGATGCATTTCATTTGACTTTTGGCTGTGGTCTTTTGACATTTTCATTGTTTTCCATTGCTGCCTCTCGGAGTAAGCCTGATCATGTTTACACTTACGGGTGAGTTTGTTTGTTTGCAATTTTGTTTTGTTTTGGATATCTCACATACTTTTTTACCAGTTTGTCGAACTTTATTTGATTAATAGAGATGGTTAATTGTTGTGATTTCTCTTTCCAGGTACAAGAGACTAGAGGTTTTGGCTGCCTTTACGAATGCTGTAAGTATTCAAAATTTTATACGTGTATGCATTTTTATTGTTCATACCACTCTTCTGTTTGAAGCTCTCCTTTTCTGAGTGATGATTGAGGTTCATGTTCTTTTGATCTTTCAAGTTTATGTATTTGTAGCACTCTCAAGTCTTATGAGTTAATTACCTCGAAAGTTATTTCTTTGTTCTTTTGTTTTCAATAAGAAGTATTTCTGTGCTTTTCACTATTCATAACCGGATATTTCAATGGAACCGAAGCAGTAACCTGATTCTTAAATGGACAACACCTCGAAGGAGCAGAGTGATGTTTCACTTTGAACTTCAGTTTTAGTCTTTTTGATGCTAATTTCCATTCATGGTCACAGTTTATTCTAGCTGTTCTTCTGATTTTTCTAGTTTCCTAACCTCTTGAAGTGATTTTATTTGTTTGCATACATCTTACAAATTATGTAATTTTAATTCACTCTTTTTGCTATCTGGACATTTACTACTCTGTTGCCGTGTAGACAGCTATTTCTTCTGTTTCTGTCTTTCTCGTTAGCAGTGGAAGCGCTCCATGCATATATACAAGATGAATCTGAGCACAAGTAAGTACTTCCCATAAACATTGATTTGGAGATGTAATATAATTGTGGAATGCAATCTAGAAGTTTTTCTCATGTAAATTCTTTGGTTGTAGTCTATTTTGCTGGTTCCTAATTTTCGCTTTTGTACCTTGGATGCCTTGACCTCGATGTCGTGCTTTGTAGGTGTTTCTGTTTTGCAAAGTTTTTGAACTTTTCAGTTGATTGTAATTTTTAGCTGCCAGGATTCATGCCCACAGGACATGCCTGTTAAGTTTATTATGAAAATGTTTTGCATTTTTGTTGCTTGTTTGTGTTCAGTGCGTTAAGATATGCTGGTATCCTAGACTCTTAGATTCAGATACTCTTAGTATATCTATTTATTCTTCACCATTTGGCTGTACGAGCAAGAAAACAGCTTAAATTAAGTCATGCATTTATTGATCCAAAGGGGTTTCATATAACTTATCGAATAATCAACACTTATACTTGCATATGTTTGGCAGAATTTCCCAAGTGATTTTGGATGACAAAGTGTTTTTTCTAAAAGTTGCAATGTTTGGTAACCAATAAAAATCACTTGTAAGAAAGCCAAACTGATTTTAAAATATTTTTTAAAGAAACACTTGAAAGTTGATTATCTCATAACCTAAGCCTATAAATTTGTAGAATGTCAAATTTATAGGCTATTGTTTATCATATCCAGATTTATAGCATAGCATTCTGTAAAAACATAAAGGTGGACTTATTAAATGAGTTTATGTGGTTATGTTTTGTGGTATTAGTACTCTGCATATCTGATAATTATTTTTACCTTGCAGGCACTACTTAATTGTCTCAGCCGTAACAAATTTAACAGTTAATCTTATAGGTGTTTGGTTCTTCAGGAACTATGCTCGCATTAATCTTGGTCAGTCTCCTGTGTTGACATCATCTGATTAGTTATAATGGTTTTTTTCCCCTCTCTAACTTCCATCCATTGTTTTTGAAGTACTTGATCAGTTATGTACTCTCCTAGTCTCCCTTAATTTTATATCGATAACATTTATTCAAGTGTTCGTAAAAAAGTATTTATTTTAGCGTGATTTTGCAATTATATTTTCTAAACAATATTGTTCTCATACTTGCAATAAAGAACTAAATTAGCATATTACCTCATTTTCAAGAGGAAATATTAAATGCAATTATATCTTTAAATCTCAAGTTATACATCTATCAACAGGATTTTTTTATATAACATGTCCATTATATATTCGATAACTATATTGTATTCGACATTTCCCTTCTTAGTATCTTCTTACCAAACATCAATGGTTTCTCAAGTTCATCTATGTCATATCCAAGATGATCTTAATATTTATTGGCTTATCATCCAAGCTGTCAGGTCTGTGATTATGATGATTTTCTCATCCCTGGATTATTGCTTTTAGTGTACAGAAAAGCTGAAGATATGAACTACCATTCAATTTGCTTGCATGTTCTTGCAGATTCTATCCGCAGGTAAATTCTATTCTCCTCCGCTCTCTTTCTTCCTTCATTTCTACATGCCTGCTTTCTCTTTTAATAACCATGTGTGAATATGCTTGCTTTTTCTGAATATTAATCTTATTTTAGCGATGTTTATCTTTAAACAATGTTTGTCATTGGTTCTCAGTGCAGGTCTGATATTGGCGTCATGGTTTTTGTCTCTTGGGTAAACTACCATACACAAACTGATCCTTTCTTTCAAGTTAGTTGCTTCAACTCTAATCTTATTTGGGACCTTCTTTGCAGGGTTCAAAATGCTGAAGTCTTGTGCCTAGGACTGGTTTCGGTTGCAGTCTTTATGATTGTCATGCCGCTCTTTAGAGCAACCGGTGGTGTTTTACTTCAAATGGTACCACCTAGCATTCCAACTTCGGCATTAAGCAAATGTTTGAGACAGGTTTGTGATAAGCATGCATTTTATCATTTGCTCCGGAAGTTGTGAAGTAAATTGGACCATGAAGACTTATTTGAGATCTTTTTCATACTTTTTCATTAAACCGTGAGTTCCATAATTTCTTTTTTGTTCTTCAAACCTTTTTCCATTAACCTTTCTCTGTGCTCGCTAATTCTTTTAAAAATTCTTTTCTCCCATCACATACTTTTTGCCACTTGGAGTCTAGAACCTAGATCAACCCACGGGATTCTCTCAACATTTTTGTACTATGTTTTCCTATGTATTTGTGTTGTCTTTTCTAATTGAAGTTTCTACTTACTTGTTCCTAGAAAAGAAATGTTGAATCTGAACTATATTCAATATACGGGTAATTAAGATTTAAACCCGTATAGTTTGTCTATTTTGCAAACTATATTCTCATGTCTTAAAAAAGGTTGATGACTTACCATATGAATTAATCAAATATCTAATGGAGTTGATATATCTGGCTTATTCTGCGGGTGTCAAGTTCATGAAACCTTAGGGACAGAAAGATATGCTTACATTTTCATAAACCACTAAATGTTTGGAACCTTTTTTAAAACATGGGTATGATTTTCAAATAGACGAACCATAAATGGGAATGGTAAGACACATATGCAAAAGAAATGATCAAATGAAAGTTATGAAATTGACTACACTTGTTATCTACTCTACATGATGTTGCAAGAATGTTCACATTTTTATATTTTATCAGATTACATCCTTGGAAGACGTATTAGAAGTCACTCAAGCGCGATTTTGGGAATTAGTACCCGGTCAAGTTGTTGGCTCACTCTCTCTAACGGTATTGTTAAGCATACTTCTGTCATTGTTAACATTGTCATGCATCTGTACTGTTAGTAATCCTTTTTGTTATGTTGTGATGTAACTGGTAGTTCCTTTCTGTCTATCTGAATTTTCAGTTCTGATATTGGTGAAATCACTGTTTACAGATAAAGAAAGGAACGGACAATCGCCAAACACTTGAATTTGTGCATGGTGTGTATCATGAATTGGGCATTCTGGAGTTAACAGTGCAAATAGAAGATGCTTGAGTTTCTGCTGCTCCATAGTTCTTTTCAGTCCCCCATATCGTCAATGATGGTCATATCTTTAGCTTACACATTCTACCTCAAATTTTCGAGAATCTACATTAGGCTTATGATAAATACCAATTATCTCAAACATGTTCCTCAGTGTTGATGGTAGTTGATAAATAATTTCTCTTCTTTCTCCTCTCTCCCTCAGCACATCCCACATCTTGCATCATAATAGAATTTATGTAAAGTAATTGTAACTTTATTGATAATTATAGTGAAATTTTGTTTAGTATTATGAAAATTGATTACAGGATTATGATTAGTTGTTTTCTTACTTTCTGATGTAATTTCTTGAATTTATAGTTCGGTAGTCTCTGAATTTATAGTTCGGCACGTCTTCAGATCCTCAAGAACATGCTAGTCATTTTGTAGTATCTGCTGGGACAAATATAGGGATAAAGATTGTTGCCATTGCTACCACAAAGAAAACTAAATACAATTCTTTGTTTGAATGTTTTTTAGTATCCTCGAGAATTTGGAGTAGCTTCCATGTACCTTGATTATTTTCCTAGGACAACCGCCTCACCTTTTCACATTTAGTTGCCAGAGTAATTTTATCTTCTGATTTTCATATGATGTGGCTAATACTTTCATAGGTTTCAAGGGAAGGGTGACATCAAAAGCTATGGTGAGGTGTTTATGGGCAGAGGAAGGTCCCAGGTATACAAACTATACATTCATTCATCAACAACACAATGGCTTGTATTAAAGCATAGTAAGAGTATCACTACTCATTGATTCCTTTATGCTATGACTGTTTGATGAGTTTAGAAATCATAGAAGAATGTTGTGATGCAAGGGATCCATAAACTTGTAGTTCTAGGTTTCATGTACCATTACATTGGGCTGCTCAAGGCAATGATATAATGCCTACTTGCTAAGCATGGATTCATGTTTCATATCAAACTGCAATAACTTTTGAAATAATTGATGTTAGTTTTGCTTTGAAGAAAATCGAACTCTCATATGAAATAAATTAGTATTTAGTAAATTTTAGATTACATTTTGTTTACTTTAAATTATTTGTTACTTTGATTGGAAAGATATTAGGAAGGGATAGAATCTCTCAGATTACATGAAGGGTGAGAGTTCCAGATACTAGGCTAAACAAACACGATCTATTGGATCTAAACACTGTCTATATACTATAAACAATAATTATGATCATCTTCCAGAAAGCTCTGTAAATGGAGTGAGCTGGCTGTCTTTGAGAGAGCTGTCTGTGTCATCCTTGAAGGAAGGAGGCATGGGAGGCCACACAAATGAAGGCCTCTCATCAGGCAAAATGGGTGGATTTGCTTCCCCTTTAAGCACTTGTAGAACATTTCTCATGGTTGGCCTTTGAAGAGGATTGGGATGGCAACAAGCCAAACCCAGAATCAATAGATACTCTATTTCTTCTCTAACGAACTGCCCTTCAAGCCCTTCATCCACAGCTTCGACGAGCCTTTGTTCCTTGTGAAACTCCCATACCCAGTGCGCTATACTGCCATCATAGCTCCCAAGGTCCAATGGATTTCCAGGCCTTCTTCCACAAATAACTTCTAAGACTAGAACTCCAAACGCATACACGTCTGTTTCTGCTGTAGCTCTACTGGTTAGGAAAATCTCTGGAGCCATGTACCCTGGTGTCCCTGCTATCTCTCTTGTTGAGTGATGCGTTTGGTCGGTTCGACGCATAGTTCGAGCCAATCCGAAATCTCCCAACTTAGCTTCGAACTTGGAATCCAACATGATGTTTGAAGATTTCACATCTCTGTGCAGCACTGTCTTCTCGCACCCATTATGAAGATAATCCAAAGCCTCAGCCACCCCACAGATTATGTTCTGTCTTGTTTCCCAGCTGGACACACCCATCTTGTCACACCCAAATATCAGCTTGTCCAAGCTGCCGTTGGGCATGTACTCATATACCAGAAGAAGATCCCTCTTTTCGTAGCACCATCCAATTAGCTTTACAAGATTCTTGTGATGAAGGCTACCAATGGTAGCAACTTCTGCAATGAACTCTTGCTTCCCTTGACGCGAGTCCTCTGAGATTTTCTTCACAGCGACGTCTCTGTTCATCAAATTTCCTTTGTAAACCGTTCCAAAACCACCTTTCCCAAGGCTGTTCTTTGGGTTGAAATTGCCAGTGGCCTTCGTTAGTTCTCTCAATCCAAACTTTTGAGCTCGTGGGGCTATGGAGATGTGTTGAAGCTGATGCTCTATCCCTTCATATGGCTCTTCTGGATAATTCAATACTCTTTTCCTCATCCAGAAATGGTAGACAAGGCCAATAACAGCCCCACAAATCACCACACCTCCAACTACACCCACTGTGAGCCAAATCCAGAGGCGTTTATGTCTTCCATCACTAACATCAGTTCCATTGAATTGCCATGATTTCACACAGTTCAACTGCGTGAAATCGCTCGTCGAGCCTGAAAATCCCACGTAAACATTATCCGGAAGAATTGAGAGGTTCAATACCTGGAAAATGACGTTGTTTTTCAACAGATCCTCTGTTTTGTTCGACATGGAAACGAACACAGAAATATTCTCTCCATCGTACCGAATCATCGCGAAAACAGAGATCCCAGATGAAAGATTAACCCCAAATTCCGATAATGGCTGTTCAATGATCGAAAAAACACTGTTCAAATTCAAACCCACATGGTTGCTATCGATGTCCTGTGGGAAACTTTTCCTGGTGTCGAATTCAACCGCCACAATTTGCGCCTCTGGAGTTCCATTTGTCGAGGCATTAACAATCCCCAGCCACTGACCGTCGCTGTCAGCGGGAGGAGAACCATCGGCAGCGAGAATGAAGGCCAACCCCTCGCCGCCGACTGGCGTAGACACTGGGCTGATGTTGAGCTCGAATGTCGTGTTGAATGACGCGATTTTGCCGTTGTTTCTTATCAGAAATGGGACTTTGTAAACGGCCCTGCCGGATTCATTGGCGATCGAAGCTCCTCTAACGTCCGGCGTGACTTGAATGGCGTCTTTGAAGATTCGAGCATTGTTGTACAGATTGAGGTCCTCGGTACTGTTATTGGGGAAACTTGGGAAGTTGAAATAGAGGCACCGTGTGGGGACGACGGCGCCACCAAAGAAGACGGCGGCGACGAGCAGTAGGATTCTGATCTTTGCTAGAGAAGAACTCATTGTTGGTCCGTGGTAGTGTTCGAAACAATGGGTGGTGGCTTTTTACAGAGAACCCATTGGGTTTGGATTTGAAGGGTCAAACAAGAAGAAGAATTGAAACAATGATGTTTGAGGAATTACGACAAAAATTCCATTTTTTATTCCGACTTCGGGAAAAGGATTGCTACAAAATTTCATCGTGGAAAAAAAATAAAAATAAAAATAAAAATGAAAACCTCAATTCAAAGTCAAAACTTTTTTTTTTTTTTTTTTTTTTTTTTTTTTTTTTTTTTTTTTTTTTTTTTTTTTTTTTTTTT